CTCCATTTTGCACTTATTTTTTGTGTATGGTGTAAGTTGGTGGTCTAGTTTCATTTTTTGCATGTATCTGTTCAATTTTCCCAACACCATCTATTGAAGAGACTGTCTTGACTCCATTGTATGCTATTGCCAAATATTAATTGAACATAATGGGTTGGGTCTATTTCTGGGTTCTCTGTTCTGTTCCATTGGTCTAAATGTCTGTTCTTGTGCCAGTACTAGGCTGTTTTGAGAACAGTGGCTTTGTAATATAGCTTGATATATGATCCTTAAATGCATTTTAGAAATATTTCCAAGTTTTGCTTTGTAGCACATGCTAATTTTCATAGTGTAATTATTCTTATCATGGGTGATTGGAGTCTACCAACATGATGTCATTGAATGTGAGTTGGAAGAGATGTGCACAATCAGCTTGAAGCCAATGTGAGCCACCAAACAATAATCAGTTTAAACAGAAAAAATAGAAAGTTCACCAGAAATGGATCATGATGGTAAATCAGTGAGTCTTCAATAACATAGTATAAAAATGCAAATTCGCAATTATAATTGTGTAACATGTTTTACAAAAGATTTTGCATAGATCTTATAAGAGATTATGAATAAGGGAATAAAGAATTACTAACAACCTAATAGCAAATTTGACCAAGTTGAATATTAACAGCACTGTAGATGACAACAGAATGCATATTCTATTAAGGCTATATGGAGATGTCAACCATACAATAATTTTAGGAGATCTATCTCCCTGTGCTCCTGACTGCAACCAGAGGATTTAGTGATTGCCCCTTAAAGAACTTAACCCGATTGACACACATCTCTAAGGCCTGTTTTATATCTCTGTTCCTCAGGCTGTAGATGAAGGGGTTCAACATGGGGGTAACTACTGTATACATGACTGAAGCAATTATGTCTTTGGAATCCCATGATGAGGAGAAAAAGTAAACACCTGCAGATGTACCGTAGTATAAAGACACCACAACCATAGTATAAAAACACCACAGAGAGATGGGAGCCACAGGTAGAAAAGGCTTTAAAGAGTCTCTTAGTGGAGGGGACCCTCAGCATGATGGTCCCTATACGGATATACGAGCATGAAATAACACCAAAACACATAAAGAAAATCATTCCTCCCTCGGTGAATATGACCAGCTCATTGAGGTAGATGTCGGAACAGCTCAGCTTCAGGAGTGCTGCAAGGTCACAGAAGAAGTGGGTGATGGTATTGTTGGTACAGAAAGATAATCTGACCAAGAGGAGGGTGTGCAAAAGGGCACTGCCACAGGCAACCATCCAGGAGCCAGCCACCAGCAGTGCACAAAGCTCCTCCGTCATTATGGTAGTGTACTGTAGAGGATGACAGATGGCCACGTACCTGTCATAGGCCATCACAGCCAGAAGAAAATTGTCAAGACCACCAAAAAGTATAAATGCATACAATTGAGAAATGCACCCCACATAGGAGATGGATTGTTGCTGAGTCTGCATATTCATGAGCATCTTAGGGACAGTGACAGAGGAGAGAGAAATGTCAGAGAAGGCCAAGTGGCTGAGGAAGAAGTACATGGGCGTGTGCAGGCGAGAGTCCAGCCTGATGAGCAGGATGATGAGCAGGTTGCCCAGCACCGTGGTCAGGTACATGCCCAGGAACAGGGTGAAGAACACGCTCTGCTGCCCTGGCGGGATGGGGAGCCCCAGGAGGAGGAACTGGGACACGCTGCTCTGGTTCTCAGGCCTCATGCTGCTCTTCTGTCTGCTGGGGATGAAGAAGGGCTGGGAATTTCAGGAACCTAAGAAGGATGACCAGAACCATCATATCTCATATTGTCATTCTCTGGGAAAACCATTCATATTTAAATACTTTCGTATTAATTTCTCACACCTGTGGATGTATACATCTTCCCTCTCTCCCAGTCTGGATCCAGGAAAACGTTGAGCCCCCAAAGTAATCCACAAGACCTGATCACACAGTAGCAAAAAGGGGTTCTCTGTTTTATTGAACCATTACTTTTAACATCACATCTGTGCCAGGACCTCTACTAAGAACTGAGATGCAGCAGTGAACAAGAAAAGCAAGGTCCCACTTCTCTGAGATTAGATCCTGATGAGCATAAAGGGATCATTTCTACACCAGCCCAGAGCCAACTATAAAGATTCACTGTGGCAGAAACAGAAGATGAGCCCTGGATACTGGTATCAGTTGTTAGTGCATTGAAGTAACCTGAGACTCCAGGGGTGGCTTGGGGTTCTCAGAGCATTTCACACTCCGTCTGTGGACCCTCGGGTCCCTTTGGCCTACAGCTGTAAACTCAGACACTCTCAAATGGGTGGCCATTTAAAATCAATTGGTGCCAGAATAGCTCTGAAACCAGAATAGTCCACAAACTATCTTTCATTATATGGTTGAACATTAAGGAGAACATTTGGGTACTTGCCTAAGGACCTCACCTACATTTCCTAATTAGATACACACATCAACCTTACATTCCCAGATTTTAAAACCTCCTCACACCTGCACTAAGAAAAGGTGTTCTTTCACCTGTTTTAGCTTTTAAGAAATAAAAATATAAATTATACAAATTTTATAGGCACACATCAATGTATAAGGAATAGAAGGGCACATACGTGTGTGTATCTGTATGTATAATGTATATAATATGTAAGTATATAACTTGCTATATGTATTATCATTTCCTATATAATAAAAATCACCAAGTATTAGCCACTTCATGGGGTTCGATATAATACATCTGTGTGTTCAGAACCCATGCTTTTAACCATTACACATGGAAACTTCCCTTCTCTTGCTTAGGGAAGCCAAGCACAATGTATTACTTTGGAGCTGTGAGGACTCAAAGTTGTCCAAAATTCTGAAACCTCTTACTAGATAATTTCATTCCTTTAGATTTATATACCTTTCAACTGGCAATAAATCCTCAAATATATTAACTTTATATACACAATAACTGTTTACTGAGAACCTCGGTACCATTCACAAAACAAGTGAAATTCTTTCCATTTTATAGATGTGGAAACTAAGACAAAAATTTAAGTAACTTTCCCAAGGTCTCTCTGCTATTTGATGGTGATTCTGCCCAATAACTTCACACAGCATGATGTCCTGACATATTTTTTTCCTGGAATATTTCATAAAAGTAAAGAAGAGTTTGCAAAACCTCAGGGACACAGTCACACTCAGATACATGGAAATAAGAGCAGATGTGTTTCAAGAAACCGGGAATTGCTTAGAATGTGGATATCTCAGCTAATGGTGCCCCAGAAGGAGAACACGTAAGGACATACTTGATTTCTGACACACATTAGCGCGTGCGTGTGCACGCGCACGCACACACACACACACACACACACGCACACACACACTGCTGATTTGAGGATTCTAGTCACCTGCAACCACGTTCCCATCCTAAGGGAAGAATAGCCAATATGTGGTTCAGCTCAAAAACACTTGTCTACATACATACAAATCATAAGTAACACACTAAGTGAGACATGCACAACACACAATGATGGATCACTCACTCAAAAACATATACTAACACAATCTGACTCATGACTCGTCTCCTAAACACTCAACTCAATGCATATACATAACTTAGGCACTGCACACACATCACTAAAAGCACACAAGACCACAAAGAATTAGAAAATCTCACAAGAGCTCGGCCAGTATAGTTCAGTGGTTAAGCATCGACCTATGAACCAGAAGGTCACAGTCAGGGCAATGCTAATGTCGATACCCAGTGGTGGTGGTGGGGGCACACAGGAGACAGCTGACCAATGATTCTTTCTCATCATTTATGTTTCTATGTCTCTCTCCCTCTCCTTTCCTCTCTGAAATCAATAGGATATATATATATATTTTAAATCTCATCAGAAACACTCACCACATCACATATGCACACCCAGCCACACACTCACCACAACAAGTAGCACACACCCTCGTATGACTGAGAGACAGGCTTCCACCCCTCTGACCATCCCCTTCCAGGGGACAGGTGTCTACTTGGTGCAGTTAAGGCTATTCAGTCACAGGCAGTCATTAAACCAGCAACAACACCCAATCACCTGGTCACATACACATGGTCTCATACACACAGAGAAAATCAAACAACACCCTTTCCAGCTCTCACACATGTGCGTCACTCACAGCACAGCTCCCATGTACATGCTGCTGAGCAGAGGTGTGAGCCCTCTCTGAGCTGATCTTGGTTCCTGGTGAGGTAGGACATCTTCTTGTCCAGCAGCAGAGACAACAGTCTCACTCCTGATGCTCAGCTGTGATGCCAGTGTTTATGCTGACAGGCATGAATCAGGAGTCCCTAATCACACGCCAGGAGGCTGATAACTTGTTCTACATGCATTAAAACCAGGCTGTGAGTCAGATATATAGCACACTCACACACACACAAACACACACATCAACTACTAAATAGCATGTACACACACATTTACAATACATGAAGACACACACACACAGTCATGGACACAGAGCCTCACACATGAACCCACTAGCACACAGGCAGATCAATCTCCAAGTGCAGATTTCCAGCTCCTCTCACTCAGGCTCATTGGTGAGTTCAGACACCTTCTGCTCCAGACTGTCGCCCATCTCCTCAGCTTTTCTTCAGGAGACCTAATATCCAGACACACAAAAGCAATATCTGTGGCCATGGCACTTCTACTGACTTTCCTTGCCCTTAACCAGCTCCAGAGAAATGAGTCCACAGATAGCACTTAACTGCTAATGAGAGACTGCAAACAAGTCCCCAAGCTTGTGGCTGATTTCTGACTGCCCTTTGGGGAGCTGAGTGTCCAAGAGCCAGAGGGACTGAGTCCTAGGGGACAGTGTCCCTGATTCCAGTCATGCCCTGGCCACCTTTCTTCTCGGGCATTGCTCCAGCTAGGAAAAAGGTTTTTCAACTTTTTATTTGTAAATGATTTCAACAATATGTAAAAGTTGTGAAAATGATATTAAGAATTCCTGGACAGGCTTCTGCCAGATTTCCTAATGGTTAATATTTTTCATATATATATATTTCAGGCTTTGATTTTCAGCATATATACCACAGTGCATATAATTAGAAAGCTTACGATATTAATTTTTCCAATCACTAGTGTTTTTATTCTTGATCAGTTGGCAAAGGTGGTGTCTGCCAGGTTCTGTACTATAATAGGACCATTTTTTAAAGTTACTCTTTTAAGTTTATAATTAATAGGTACCATTTGGTAGTTATTTTGATACTATAAACAACATTTTTCTTATTAAAATCTCACCCATTATATTTCACATCTACTCCTGAAACTTATATGGCAAATATGGTGACATACTGGTGATTTTTCTAATTCTATCACTCTTTCTTTATTAGTTGTATTCTTTTCTTTATGAAAAAATAATTTTAATGTTGACATTATTGCAGATTCTCCCTTGTCTTCCTCTTTGCCCACCTCTACTATCCTCTCCTCCCCCCTTTTTTGCCTTCATTACACTATTGTACATGTCCATGAGGTATGCAAATATGTTCCTTGCTAATACTTTCAGCTTCTTTATCTAGCCACCCCAAGCCTTCTCCCCTCTGGTTTCTGCCTTTCTGTCCTATGTATCCATGTTTCTGATTCCATCTTGCTCGTCATTTATTTGTTCATTAGACTCTACATATTAGTGAGATCATATGGTATTTGTCTTTCTCTGACTTCCTTATTTTACTTAACATAATACTCTCCAGGTCCATCTATGCCGTTGCTAGGGTAAGAGTTCCTTCTTTTATACAGCCATGTAGTGTTCCATTGTGTAAATGCACCACAGCTTGGTGCATTTATCCACTCATCTGCTGATGGGCACGTGGGCTGTTTTCAGATCTTAACAAATGTGAATAGTGTTGCTATGAACATAGGGGTGCATATATTCTTTCTGATTGGTGTTTTGGAATTCTTAGGATATATCTCCAGAAGAGGGATCACTAGGTCGAAAGGCAGTTCCATTTTTAGTTTTTTGAGGAAACTCCACACTGTTGTTCATAGTGGCTGCACCAGTTTACATTCCCAGCAACAGTGCCCTAGGGTTTCCTTGTCTCCACATCCTTGCCAGCAGTTGTGGTTTGTTGGTTTATTGATATGAACCATTCTAGCAGGTGTATGTTGATATTCATTTATAAGAAGGAACTTATTCTCATTCCATACTCATTTTCTTATTTATTCATTTATATCATTACAGATACATGGATTATTATTCTCTGAGTTATAATCCATTACTAATCTTATTTATTTTGAAGCTTTCAGTGTCTTCATTGCTTACAAGGATTCTAAATGATGTCAGAGAAGCCAACTAGAAAATATGTATAAAAGCAACATCAGGAAAAAAACCTAGAAACTAAGAAACTAAAGGAAAGTTTACCCACAGGAGGTGGGTCATGAGTGGGGCCGAAAGAATGGGGAAAGAGAACAGTATAGGTGTTCATATATAACCTGTAAATTGTAATCTATTTATATATTTTAAAACCCAGAAGTTTGAATTGAGAGCTCGAATTCTAGTTTGACACCACAGAGACCTTTCCAGCCTCGCCTTTTCCATGTACAGAGCTCCTTTCTCCAAGAGTGAGAGTCACTCCCTTTTCCTCCTTGTTTATTTAATTGTTGAGTCTTTGGATATATGGTGAGCTGTTTCAGAATCTTGAACAATTACCACAGGTAATGGTACTCTACAGCTTAAAACTTTGTTTAGACGTGTGTTTTTTAAGTTGTGCGAGTGAGAGTATATAGACAAAATTCTGGTTTCAAGACTTGCTTAGGTTACTTATTTTATTTTCCCCTTTAGAGTAATTATG